AGTTACTTATCTAGGTTTTCATAGGGACCTTGTTGAGTTCGGCTGTCCTGATTTAAAGCTCAGTCCTGGTTTAGTTTGACTGTCTTAACTACAACTGGGAAATATGGAAAGTGTATCCTTTTAGATTTGGGAATGAGTGTGGAAAATAGGGAACACAGGAAATAAGATCTTATTTAGAAAAAATAAAAGAAAGGAATGGAGCAGGAACTATTCCAAAATTGTTTATTATATCTTGTGTTCTTCTAAACCCTTCTGATCATTTATGACTAACTCTGGAAGCCATGAAAACAGGAATTCCTCATTGCTACATCTTGTCTGGTGCTGCAGAATGAACTTCCCGTTGTCCCTCAAGTCTCATATGTTAATATTGAATAGAGCAATACAAGGAACGGGAAGTTAAGATGAAAAAGAAACAGCCCATAATTGTATTGACTGGAGATGAGTTAGAATAATTGTGTTAGACCTAAAATGATTCCAATGGCATTGACATAGTATATTAGATGTGGTAATAGCTGTTACTGCGAGCAGAGGTGTGCTGAAAGGATGTTGGGAAAAAGCACAATGGTAGATCTGGCTCATATTGTGTGCAGCTGAACACATATTTGATCAGGTGCACAATAAATGCCTGAAAGCCTGCTTGTGTTAAAATTGTACATTTCCTCTTCATTCTGATGCAAAAAAAAAAGCTCAGAAAACTATTATAACTACTTAGAAAAGTAATTAGGTAACTTGGAAAGCACAGTTATTTGTTTTGACTGTGAACTACCTTTGTAAAGAATACGTAATATGAGGCATAAGATAAAGGGCAGATATTGTGTTATGTTTGACTTTTTTCTTGGTTTGAATAATTCGATGGTTTGTAAAAAACATGTTTATGAAGTTTTTTTTAATAAAATCCTTCTCACATATAGAGATTTCAGCATTTTTTTTCCTTCATTCAATCAATCAAATTTTATTTGTATAGCACCTTCCGCTGCCTTTGCAAGAGCCCAAGGTGCTGAACATAACACACCGTAAAGACAAAAGAACAAACAAATTTAAAAGGGTTAAAAAAGGCTTAAACAGATACAATTACATAACAGCCAAATGATAAAATGAATCATGCAACTTTAAAAAACCTACGGTGGTTCTTTACAGTTTCAGCACCTTACTGAATGAGCTCTGTCACTTTAGGAAAACAAGCTGGAGCTGGCCATGCCCACCCATCTCCCACTCAGGCTGCTATAAGCTGAGAAGCTCCCATATCTGGTAGGGACTCAGTGTAGAACTGCTGCTTGTTCAGCAGCAGCGGATTTACTCCAGGTGAGAGAAAGTTCAATGCTAATATCCCTGTTTGTGACTTCAACAGTAAGGACTCTTTGAAATGGCTTTTCTTAGACTCATATGGCGCTTACACATTAGCGTTGGCACGGCCCCGAAAGGTGTCGAACGGCACCGGAATTTGGTTTCACACACAGGTCAGATTAGCGTTTTTGGTGCCAAGGTGACTCTTTCTCAGACCTTCTCCCCAGCGGTCAGACTGGGAAAGAGGCAACACTATGGACTGATTGGCCGGCTGAAATTACGCCTACCGCCTCCGATCTGCCAGAAGAATGAGCCAGCGGAGAATTTCTCGCATTCGCGATTCATTTTCATGCTAGATGCTGTTGAGCAAATTTCTGTCTGTAGCACGGAGCTGCTGTTAAGTGTGGTAACGGGAGAAAAAAATAGCTTTGTGTGTGTGTGTGTGTGTGTGTGTGTGTGTGTGTGTGTATGTGTATGTGTATGTGTGTGTGTGTGTGTGTGTGTGTGTGTGTGTGTGTGTGTGTGTGTGTGTGTGTGCTCCTATTCTCCGCATCGGAGCCTTTGCCCTAGCAAAAAGACCGCTGCTCAGGGGAGAAATCAGTGTGTGTGTGTGTCACAAGATTGTGATGACACACACAGCAAATTAATAAAATAATGTGGTTCAGAGTCTCCAAAAGCAACACAGCTCATGTCCGCCCTTTGCTTATCTTGTGGAGTGGACTTTCCCGCGTGTATTAAGCTCCGCCCACAGGCTCTGGGATTTCCGCATTCCTGAGAAGTCCTTCGGATTTATATGTGAACACTACACCACCCGTTCCAGACCGAACTCACGCCATCCAGCCCGACCAAACCCTGACAGTGCCGACGCTAATGTGTAAGCGCCAATAATTCCTAAACCCAAACACAGGTAGAAAACAGTTTTTTTATTTTATTTACAAAGGCAGTATAGACCCACATGGCTATGGAGCTAGGATTGGGACAATATTCAGCATAACTTGTACCAAGTTTTGTAACTTCGAACATGTTTCATCACATGTAACTTTGGATTCGTAACTTGTAACTTTAGTTTTCTAACTTGTAATTCTCAATTCGTACTTGTATTTCTTGTTTTGTAACAGGAACATTGTATTTTGTACATGTATTTTTTATTTTGTAAAATCAAACTTTTATTTTGTACGTTTACTACTCATTTTGTAACATCAAACATTCATTCAGAAACATGAAACTTTCGTTTTGTAACTAGCAGACTTCCAAATTGAAAAAATCAAGGTACAAGTTTGAAATCAAAACTCTCAAAACACACATTTCATTCTACAGGTACAAACCTCAAATCTACAGTTACGGATCTTTTTGTCTCGATTCTAGCATCAGTGGGAGAAACTTGGGTGGAACCAATGAGAGCACGAGTCTTGGCTACCAATCACGTTTCTCGAATTCCTGTCCAATCATTGGGAGAGGAGGACAGGGTTCTGTCAGAGCTGTAGAGAGTTACGACATGTGCGGGAGTCACGTGGTTCATGTAGCTTCGAATAGTTCCAAACAGCCCCTGCTGCTGCATTGACTGCAGTTCATTTTCGGTGTTTCGGAAAGATTTTCCACGGTAAGTTGATGAAATGTCATCATTTTGTTGCATTGTGAAGCGTTAGCTAACCTCTTCGTACCAAAATAAGCCAACGATGATATTTTATCAGGGAATCAGAGAGAGATCAGAGAGAATTTTATTGCCAGCGTCCAGCGAACCAGAGCATAGGAACTTTACTCCACAGAACAGCCTGACCAAGATTACACACACACATATAGACAGAACAGATACAGGAAGACCACAAGAGCAGCCATAACGACGCTCATTTCAAGAGATGAAGAGGGGATTACATGAGGAGAGTTTGGGGAGGGAGAAAAAGGCTTAACAGAGTTTCACCCGGCAGGGAGTAGCTCTACTATGCAAAAAAACACCTCAACATATAAGCACAAACGTCACAGTTCACAACATGACACCAGGAAGGGAGGGGGGTTGGGCTGGGATCCTGGTTTCCTCAGCGGGAGCAGCCCATTTGGCGCTCAGCCAACTGTATCCACAGGTGGGTGGGGGCTCTGTTTCATACACTCCCTCTGCTGTCTATTAGCATGGATAGGCTAGTGTTAGCCTGGACGGGCTGGTGTTAGCATTGGAGAGGCTAGCCATTAGCGTGCCTAGGCTGGCCACTAGCTGGATTTCCTACCTCCTTGACGGACCTTAAGCATGGATAGGCTGGCATTAGCATCGGAGAGGCTAGCCATTAGCGTGCCTAGGTATGCCACTAGCTGGATTTCCTACCCCCTTGACAGACCTTAAGCATGGATAGGCTGGCATTAGCATCGGAGAGGCTAGCCATTAGCATGTCTCGGACATGCTAATAGACAGCAGAGGGAGTGTGTGAACCAGTCAATGACCAGCCGAGGGCTGCTAGTCCCCAGCGTATCTAGTAGTAACGCTGGTAAAGGTGCTATTTCTCAGTAAGCAATGCCAGCCTCTCAGTTACCGGCGCCAGCTTATCGTTAATCAGGTCGGTAGTTTGCTTTGGAATTTATATAGCCTCCTGTTGCTGGGCAGTAGTCTTAATTTTGGCCCCCATACCGGGCCATAAAAATGTGCCTGTAGAGTGGTGCATTAGTTTTTTTCCTGCCACATTTAACAGTTTAATTGCAGCTTTGTGCAGTTGAGAGCAGAACATGTAGAGCCTTGATAGAAAACATTTGAGCAAGATTAGCAATTCTTAGCTTTCAGTGTGACAGCGTGAGACAGAAGCTCACAAAAGCTGTCCTTTTCAAAGGTCACTAGGAAATCACAATGTGCTTTAGCATCTGTCTGTAGATCTGTTATTTTTATAATCGAAAATATGTATAATCTGTAATAAACAAGTTTTGCATCACTGTCAGTTTGTAATTACTGTACTCTTTAATTTTTGAAGTGTTTAGTTAGCCCTTTAACTTACAATTATCCTAGTTTTCTCTTCTCAAACTTTCATTTTAAATGGGTTTCAGGCTGAAAGCTGAAATAAATACAAATTATAATAACTTGCCAAAGCAAGTATATATTAGGTTCATATTACTTGCAAATATTAAAGTCAAAGTAAATAAAATATATTCTGTATATCTTCATTTGTCTTTTTTATAAAATATTTCCTCAGTCATTGAGGTTCTAGAGTTGTTTTGTTTTTTTGACTGGGTGTTTTTACTTTAAAGTTTGTTTGCTGTTTCAGTGTATTTATTTATTTATTTTTTACTATTTTCTGTAAATTAAATCAGGTATTTGAGTTTTTATTTATAAGTTGATATGGTAAGTTATAAGGTATCTTAAAACTTATATTTATAAGTTGACCTCAGTTTACAAACTACAGCTAGTTCATCAGAAGCAGATACTGTATTGCTGACATTAAAACGGTAAGTCTATGGGAAATTGACAGGATAGTGGAAAACGGCTGGAAAGTGGGGTGAAATAAGGGGAGTTTCCTACCAAAACTGATATATTTCATAGCCACGTCTCTGATGTTTCTAAAAAATCAAACCGTATGAAAATCGGTTGAAAATTGAGAAAGTTTGAGTTTAAATAGTGCATGCACCACTAAACACCAGTGTTAGAGGACAGCTGTCCGAAGTAAGATGGCCGCCGCGTACAGACGTCAGGGTCCATTGACGAACAGCGCGGGCGAGGGATCTAGTTATCTATGCCAGAACCTACCTAGATTGTGCCTTTGTTTTGAAAAGGTGTGGGCGGGTGTGCTTTGAATAACATCCGCCTGTAAACTAGCTTGACCAAAGGTCGTCGAAAGAAACAAGCCTTCCTGACACACTTCCACAGACTCCCAACACTCGCACGGTCGCGGCCTCTGCCCGGGTTTGTTTAGTAATTCCTTCAGTGATCTGGATTGCGTTAATCGGTTAAAACAGACTGCAGACCCACCGGAAAGAACCGAACCGTGTTCGCTCGGTGTGATTACCAGAACCAAGAATGTGTTTCGTTTAACGCCTGCAGAGACGAGATCTCCTGTTAGGAGCGCTGGTTCTGAGCCGGTTGGTGGTTTGAAGCCGCGGCGCGACATACGAACTATCTGGAGCATCTTCCTGCTCGGTGTTTTCTCCGGTAGCAGCCATGGCAGGAGGTGGACGGCCAGCGCTCGGGCTGCTGGTTCTGGTGGGGTTGCTCTTCCATCGCTGTGGTTCCTTCAACCTGGATGTGGACAAACCCTCCGTGTTCGCCGGACCCGAGAGAAGCTACTTTGGCTTCTCGGTGGATTTCTTCAAGTCCTCAACTAACCTAAAGTAAGACTTGATCATCTGACAGTTTGTTGTGTAAATAAACATGAATAATTATGGCTAAATGTGGATGGTAATGATGAATCTTTCTTATTCTTCCTATTCCCAGTTTCAAGGGAAACGAATAAACGAGTAAACAGAAATATGAACTCTTCCTTTCTACATCTCACACCAGTTATATATGTTTACTAGAGCAAGGAGGTCCCGCCAGCGTCTTCAGCGCAGCTGTGTGAAACGAGCCCTTCTGCTTCTATCAGCTGGTTTTAGGAAGCAGAGAAAAGTTATGTGGCTCGTAAAGCTGAAAGCAGAGCTCAGACTGGCAACAAACCTGGATCACACCAACTAAAATAAAAATGATTTATAGACAGTTTTATTCTCAAAGATGTACATGTTATTGGTCAAAGGTCAGGAAACATCTGGATGGGTCCTCCTTTTCCATGTCAGGCTGTGCTAGACCCCATCACATTGGGAGTGGCCTCGTTCATTCACAACGCAGTAATAACTGTTCTTTACATCAGGAAGGTTGTGTTGTAAATCACCATACAGACACAGAACAACCCGGGCTGTGCTGCTTTAGTTTGTAATACAGACATTTATTAAAATCTTCATATAAGAACGTATAAATGAGCCAGAACTGTTCTGCTATTTAACCCTTACCCGAGGGCCGGTACTCAGCATGTTTTAGTTGTTTTCCTGCTCCAACACACTTGATTAACTTGTTCAGCAGAACACCAAGCTCTGCAGAGGCTTGCTAACGACCTGAGTAAAATCAGGTGTGCTGAAACCAGGGCTGCCCCTAGGCAAAGTGGGGCCCTAAGCAGAATTTTATCATGACCCCCTACCCCCACAATTACTATATCATAAGATGCCATTTGGGTTTACAGCCTTTATTAGAATAAATAACCTCTTTCAAATAAAGAACAAGCCTAAAAAGCCACACGTCTGCATTTCCTGGGTGCAAAGTCGTCAATAGGGCTGAATGATTAATTGCATGTGCAATTAAATTGCAATGTGACAAAAGGAGATTTTCTAATCGCAAAGGCTGCAATTTGACTGGCAGCGAGTGGTTAGCACAACGCTAATATACATTTAAAAAACCATAGGGATGCTAATGCTAATATCGCCAATTACATTCTTACAAATGACAAATTAGGAACGTGCCTAATGATTACATTTGGAGTCTAATAAAAAGTAAAAACTGCCATTAATCAATTAAGTACAGACAGATATTTTAGTAAAGCTAGAAAATCGTAAGAGACTTTAACTCCGCTGAGTTTTGGTTAGCGGCTATGAATGTAACTGAACTACGGAAGCTCTGCATGGACAAAAACTCTAAACACAGAATACTTCAATAAACTGGACACATTTCTTTCCTGCTAATACATTTTCACAGGTGATGCTAATACCTATGCTCCTTCAAGGGATGTGCTCCTGGCTGCAAAGCATCGCACCTTCAAATACAACCTTTTGTCTTTAATTGTGAGTGTTTCTGTATGTGTAGATCAGGGGTGTCAAACTTTTGAGTTTGACAGCCCTGAGCGGGGCTTGAACCTGAAACCCTCCTGTTACAGGGCAGGCACTTAACTCCTGCCACCGTTGTCCCGTCTTAGAAAACATGAAATTTAAGTTTGTTTTTCATCCATCAAGTATTCTGTTTTTGATGAAATGGGATACTTGCTTCAAGTTTGGGCTGCATGGTGGAAACGTACAACAGCAGTATTGTTATTGAGTATTATTCTAAGTAAGCTGTTGTTTCTGCTCTGTCATCACAACTCTCACCACTTTCATCCAAGTCATGTGTGGCCTTCAAGGCCAGTGGGGAGCTATTGGATTAGCCTCATATATGACTGGCATGCAGAGCAGCTATGCTTGGCTCTTGGGTTATAACAGCCTGTCATTTATGGCAGTCCAAGCTAGGGACAGGCACGCCAAGTCTATCTGACTTTGTTGATGCTTCTACTCACAGCACAAAGACCTCTGAACTAAGGCTTTTAGCATGGAGAACAGTTAAAACACACCCTAAGCCCTGACTGAACAGCCACACAAATCAATAAAACGGCCTCCATCCCAGTGAATGAGTGACCTACAAATAAAACAAGCTTTCAATTGATATTTAGTTTATTTAGTTAGTGATCCACCTAACAGCTGCCTCAGAATCAATCTTCAACAATTCTGCTGTGAACGAAGGCTTTCTGCACAAAACTCTGAAACAGATGGAAGTAGTCCTCTAACATCAGACAGCCCCGGCTGCCCCGTCTCACTGAAGGTCAATAAACACAATCTCTAGAGAAAAACACATGAAGTCATCTTTCTGTCCATTGGTCAAAAAACGAATAAATGACTGACCGTCTGCATTTATTTAAAGTAGATGAGATGGTGAGTTTGCAGTCCGCTCTGGCACCAAGTTCAGCGTCGGTGTTGACTTCAGCCACCGCCAAGACAGACTCCATTCTGGAGTTTTACTCATGATGGAGGCTGAAGCTGCATTTGAACAAGAAACCCAGACTCAAAACAAATGTTGTCTTTCCACACAGCTGCACCCACCATGGTTTTATTAGGTTCTGTCTTTACAGGCGACCCAAATAGTTATTTTTGTGTAGTAGCAGGTTTACTTCTGCTTTTTGTGTCTGCCGATGAAGCTGCTGAAAACCGCCAGATGCCCAGACTGGTGGAGAGAGCAGAAGAACAAATGAAAATGCTTCTGCCACCTCAGCTGGTTTAGTTTCATGTGACTGTTCAGATCATGGTAAAATGGCCTGTACTTGTACAACACCCTCTTAGGGTTCTACAACCCCCCAAGGCGCCTCACAACACAATTAGTGATTAACCTTTTCACACACACATTCATACGCTGGTGGTGATGAGCCAGGATGTAGCCACAGCTGCCCTTGATGCGCTCTGAGGGAGGCGGGGCCTGCGGAACACTGGAGCCACTGGTCCCTCTGACGTGTGTGTGTAAAATACATCATACACTGGACAGAATGTAGTGAAGTACAAAGTAATCACTGAATGTTCATCAACATCTGATTTACTTTATTAGAATTTAACCCAATGCAAGATGGCCACCACAACAATTAAATTCAATTAATTTATATAGCGCCAAATCACGACAAGAGTCGTCTCAAGTCACTTCACATAATAAACATTCCAATACAGGTCAGTTCATTAAGCCAGTCAGAAAATGTTTCCTATATAAGGAACCCAGCAGGTTGCATCGAGTCACTGACTCGTGTCAGAGACCTTTACGGCAATCCTCATACTAAGCAAGCATGCAGCAACAGTGGAGAGGAAAACTCCCTTTTAACAGGAATAAACCTCCAGAGACAGAGCAGAAACACACACACACACCAGGTAGTGTTTATATGGCTGCATACATTGTGATTTCCTAGGACAGTTTCTATTTCCTAACAAAATAAACTTCATTGTATTTATCCAAGTGAATCTATAATTAAACAGGTAAACTAGCAGTAGCACATCCACTGTCAAAGAATGTAAAAAGTTATTATCAGGAGAGGGAGAATGTTTAAGTGGTTAGCAGCAGTGTGCTAGCCGATGGCCCCCTCCATGAGGTCACCACATCTCAGCAGAACTTCATTGAAGCTTCTTCTGGGGAGAAAAACAGCAAACATGTGTATCAGTTCAGTTGCTATTTACTGTGTTCTCACTGTGTAAGTTGTTGGTTATGCATAATGGCTTTCTTTCCTCTCTTTAGCTCCGACATTCTCATTGGCGCGCCTCGAGCCAACTTGACGTCCTCCAGCACTGTGGTGGAGAGAGGAGCAGTGTTCACTTGTCCTTGGAGCAGCTCCTCCAGCTGTCAGCAAGTGCAGTTTGACACCTCAGGTACTGGAACCTCCTGGTTCTGTTTCACAGGACGCCATCGGGGTTTGGCTCGGCTCTTCTGTAGGTGGTTTAGCTTCGAGTCCTGCTGCTTCCAGAATTCCCCAACTGATCCTCAAGAATCCTGCTGGGTTTGCATTATTAATGAGTTAAACCTGCTCAGATACGACGCAGGAAACTTAAAGGGACTTTACGGAGTTTTGAATTTTTATGCTCGCGATTGCCCCCCTTTGGCCAAAAGCGTAACGGCAGCTTCAATAGTAGGCTCGTGCACGAGGCGCGCATGCTGTACGTGCACACTCCTTAACGAAAATAACAGCTGAGACAGTCCTGTGTGTGTGTGTGTGTGTGTGTATGTGTGTGTGTGTGTGTGTGTGTGTGTGTGTGTGTGTGTGTGTGTGTGTGTGTGTGTGTTTGTGTGTGTGGCCCGGAGGACAGAGGACAGGAGAACGCGCAGCTAATTAATTAAATTATTTGGTTCTGTACCTTTCTCTTCAGCACAGCCGACAAAGGTTTATGATGGGTCAGTCCTCCTGCATGCTCAGATCATTCCCTTCCCTTGCTTGAAAAATTGTTCCAAAATGAAAGTTGAACCCACATCTTTTTTTATCTGTGAATTCAATGCCATTCGGCGAGTCTCAAATAAAAATTTGGGCATCTTACTGTAAAAAAAAATACCATTAATGTAAAAAAGAAACTCTAAATAAACTATGTTCGTATCCAGAATCGAACCTGGATCATTTGCACGAAAGTCCGACGTCTTACTAGGCGAGCTAAAGCACCAGTGATGTCCTTTGTATCCGTAACATTTATATCCTTGATGGCAGCTGAAACAACGTTCAAAGAACGGTTCGGAGGGCTATGCCTGAGCGTGAACGCGCATGAAGCAGCCTGCTTGACCCGAGCAGCTCTCTTTTTCTGTGATTTTACAGAAAAACAGGCAATCACAGTAAAAATGCCAGGGCTCATTCTACAGGACCAGTGCATTGCAGGAGAATGTATGAAGAAGACATTTATTATTTCTATACATGTTTTGGCTGTCAAACTTCCATAATGCCCCTTTAAGCAGAGAATGAGGATGACACATGTCATGTCGTGTGTGTGTGTGTGTGTGTGTGTGTGTGTGTGTGTGTGGCTACCTCAGAAAACGTTTCCAACGGCATTTGATCATTTTCCTTACAGCTCCTGGTAACTATCTGCACTGGGACAAAGGCAAACAGAAATCCTGTGGGAAGTGTTATAATCACCGCACACGGCACGCTGTTTACCACAGTTTTAGTCAACAAGCTAAGTTCCTGCTCTTAACCACAGATAGGCCTTTTGGTCTCATAAAATACAGATGAAATGGCTAGAAAACAGAATAAAAGGACCTTCGAGGGATGGAGAAAATAATAAACATTAACTTGTGTAACGAGGAGACAGAGATGGAGGTTGTTGGTGATTCCACCTTAACTCCTCTTACAGATTAGAAAGAGAATCCAACATTCCTGCGAGGAAAACTGATTTCATCCCTGACTTGTTTTAGTTTTGGACGTTATTTTGAGATTAAACATCTAAGAAGGGTTTCTTTGAGGAGAACAAGTGAACTTGTTACTTTATTGTTGAGACGCTGAGCTGCTGTAGTTTCATGTCAGGACACATCAGGAATGTGTTATGAAGAGAAATGTGCTCATCTCTGTGTGCAACACATTTGTTGTCTAATCGTTAATATCAGAAACGTTTCTCTACAGCACTGATCATTTTCCAAGTTATTCATTTTGTTTGTAGTAAAAAGGCACCTGCCCGTCACTCATGGCCGTAAATGTTCACTTATGAACTCTAACTATAAAATACACAGAGGGTCTAACTTTTGTTTCAGAGAGCTGTTTTTATTACTTTTGACAATGTAAAGTTTTAGTGAGAAACCAGATGAGCTGATTTTGTAGCTCTCCTCTTTAATTAACTTAATTTGAAGCGTATTATTTAGAACAGGGGTTCTCGTAACGCTGCCAGCAGGCCGTCCACGGGGGGGATATGTGGATGGTGTTGGTGCAGAAAGATTCTGAGGAGAGGTTTGTTTTTTATTAATGCGAGGCTTAACAAAAATCTACAATGACAAGTTGTCTAGAATTAACCAGACTTTTTTCTTTTCTTAGTATTTACTGGTAAATGGAGCCACAACCCCCCACCCCTGACTTTTACTAAAGCCTGATTCATGCTTCTCCGTCAGCTCCACCATCTGGTATGGATTCCAAGTAAAACCCATCGTACCACACTGAGAAGAACACAGGAACTCATTGGGCTTCTCTAGTTTATTTTTGTCTTATTGAGTGTGAAAGGTTTTAGCAAAATCTAAAGAGTTGACTCAACTAATGCATGGATTGACGGAAGCGTTTAGCTCTCATACTTCTCTGTCTCCTGGGGAGTGTTATAAATAATTCCCCTCCAGGACAGCAGAGGGCGTAGCGCTGTTCTGTGGTATCCTGTCATGTATCCGGTCCAAGATAGTGTGTTTATATTGTGTTTTTTGTGTATATAAGAGACTTTTTAACTGACAAATTTGTCTCTCATCCTCCTCCACCTCTTCATGCGCTCGCCACCTCTAAACCCACGTTTCCTGTCATTTCCGTCCACAAATAAAACGCTTGCTGCGTATCTTTTCACTCCTCCGGTCACGGGGAATTAAACGTTCATGTTTTTAGAGTTTTTTCGCGAGGTATTCTGCTAGCTGTTCCGTGTCTGCCGCTAGTTATCCTCGACTATTTATGTTTTTGAGGGCGCAATGGCGGCGGTGTAGACGACAGCGCTGCCCTGACCAATCACAAGCTTGCGTTCTCCTTCTCGTTCGATGGATGTTTAAAAAAGTGGGCTCGACTCTGTACGTACTTGCGTGCCTGTCGGGGCCCTACGCAAGGACGGGTAGATGCGTTGCGTGTCTCCGCGCTGACGCAGACGGAGAAGCATGAATCAGCCTTAAGGCTTTACGGCTAAAGAGAGAGCGACACATGCACAGTGTTAACGGTGTTAAAATAAAAGGCTTACTAACGGAGTTAGCTTTTACCACAACATGTGATCAGACTAATTACTTTTTCCATCATTACAACACTTTTTCTGTTACTGATCAGACAATCAAGCACTAAACAAAAGCTGTCACCATTAAAGAAACTTCTGCCCGAACCCGTGAAATCTAATTAAAGCTCAACTTTATTCACATTTTTAGTACATCTGCAGTGGGCTCTAGTAGGAACGAATGCCCTGTAGGTGGTACTCTGTAGGAAAATAAAGCTCTGGTGTGTGTGAGGATGTAGAAGTCAGCTGGAGGAGAGAATAGCTTCATATCTCAACTCTGGTTGGCTAAATGCTACACAACTCTACCACTGACTGTTTGCTCTGCAACATTTAAGTTTTATCTCCATAAATAACTCAAGAGAAGTACTGCTGTGTGGTGAGGTTGCTAATGCTAACAATTAGCATGTACTTGCCAGGACATTTCCTAGTCTAAACCAACCTTCCTTGTCACGAGTCAAGATGGGTGAGCACATGAATGTTAAGTGACAGCGTGACGTAGATCTGTCAGGCTTTTCTAATCCTAGAGCCTCACCGTCTAGTTTCTATCTGAAGCTAATGCAGGAGATAGGTGTAGGAGACTATTTTCATGTTCAGCCTGCTTGTAAAACTCAGAGTGACTCATTATAGTCAGAAATAATCATTAAATAATGTTTTTTCTGTTACGTTGACCTTTAATTTATTGCTCCACCTGTGAATCACCTTTTACTTGGGTCACCTGCAAGTAGCCGCCCCCTTGCAGGACTCTGGTGTATGCGCAGTTTGCATTTTAAATATGTCCTGTGGTGGTTTTGGTGTAAACAGAAGGTTTTTGTTGCCAGATTTTTCCACATTTCAGTAACCTTTTCCAAAGACTTCAAAGTCAAATCAGAAAATCTTATTTCTTAACAGTTGCTTTGACAAACATCACTTGAACACATTTCCCTATCCAAGGTCTTAAAGCAGAACAACGTGGACTCATACACTCATACACTCGTGTTAGTATTTTATGGTGATATTGCTTCAGAATTAAATCTGTTGGTTTTGGTTATAATTAGAAGCCCCAGTTTGGGTGGGGCAGATTATTAACAGAACCAATCCTATGAATGCAATTCAGGCCATTGCATCACTACCACTGGAGCTGCCTTTCAAAACATCTGGTATGGATTCCAAGTAAAACCCATCGTACCACACTGAGAAGAACACAGGAACTCATTGGGCTTCTCTAGTTTACTTTTGTCTTATTGAGTGTGAAAGGTTTTAGCAAACTCTAAAGAGTTGACTCAACTAATGCACGAGCTGTCACAGCATTTTGAAACCCGTCTTATCTCCAAATAAAAGCCATCAGACCCTGAATGTTTCTAAATTAACACATTTAGTGTCACAGGATGTCACAGCAGAAACCTCTAGATAAACCGAAGAACTTCCATTTGTCAAAACACAAGAAAGAAACCTCCAAATTCTTAGAAACCAGAAGCTCTTTCTTTTAATCAGCATGCGTTACCTAACTAACAGGTTCTGTCCTGTTATAACAACTACAGGTATGTAGCAGTTGCCATCAGCTCCTCTGATTACACTCAGAAAAACACATTTTATTTCCTCAGAAGGACAAAAATGCATTTAACTTCAGATCAGCAAAAACAGCATATATTCAAACTGTTAAGAAAATATGATATACTTATCTTTAGGATTTCTTTGTGAGAGTTACAGGGCTTGGCCCAGTCTGAAACATTAAAACATTGAAAAACAAAGGCCTGCACACATGGCATCTTCTTAGCTCATCTGGATGGATTTTAAAAAGAACTTTGAACTCACCATTATTGTTTTTGGCCGGAGGAGCTAAGTTGTTGGAGGCTTTATGCCTCTGGTAGGGTCACCCATAGCAAACAGGTCCTAGGTGAGGGATCAGACAAAGCGCAGCCAACAGACTCCTTATAGCAACAAAAATCAATGATAACCGTGTTCCCTCGCCCGGACGC